ACTGATATATTAAAACGGTGAGTATCGAGGCTTAAAGGCGCGTAATCGCTTCTTGAAGATAGTTGAAATCTCTCCCACGTGCAACGGAAGATAAATGGCAGCACTATCTCCGAGATTCAACTAAGCCCAGATATCAAATCTATGTGTTCATGAATGTTGCACTTCTTCTTCATGAACCTGTGTATTTATCTCCGTCCGATCAACAGAAAATATGAAACTCACACACTCAAACTTAAAAATTTGAAAACACTTTTTCAAATATCTTTTTCTCTTTTACTTGTATTGAGAGTGTGTATTATCGTAGGCTTCATATGCTATATTATTAATACTAATATATTTAGAAGACATTAATTATGTATTTAATATAACTCATAAATAACATATTAATCTTGTAGATTAAATGCATCAGGTAAATAACTTAAAGTTTAAAGTTTGTAAAATACTTTATGTCTTCGTAAATATATAGTTATTATATTAGTCTGAAACATAACTCCAACATCGCCAATGGACATTATACCTCCATTAACAGCACCCCAAATCGACAAAACAACCCCAACTGCCCACAACCTTCACCACCACCCAAACCACCATCCATCCGCGACCAAACCATATCTGCAAAGCAAAATCAAAATCGCAACCCCAAACCTCAATTACCACCACAATCAACCTAATCATAGAACCTTAAACCCAAAACCCATTTGAAAAACAAAATAAAACAAACAACAATAGTGGACAACCCAAATCATAGTCTGAAGAACTGAAACCAACCATCATCGGAATCTCGCCATTACTGTTCGACGGCATTTTAGTCCACTTCACCTCCATTCCGTTCTCCTTCTTCGTTGCCTACAGTCTTGTCGGTACCATCTGTCTATCGCCTGCATGCAAACACTCACCGTCAGCCTACCATCTTGGTCACCGAGCAGTTCTATGTGCTCCTTTCTTCCTCGCTGCAGTTCCTAGCCTTGATTCGTTTTCAGCCATCCTCGCTACGTATCAGGATCAATTATAGTCGATCTTTGATTTATTGCCCCCAAACCCAACATTAGAGGGCGAAACGAGCCCCCCCCTCTCTCCATTGCTCTGAAACACAAAATCTTCATCGCCCTTATTGAGCAGAGAGACGAATACAGGGATGAAGTTCAAGATTCAGGAACATGTGTGCCGGTTTGAGCCGGAGTCGGAGTAGGGGAGGACAGACCGGTGCTTTAGGTTCACGTTCTTCCACTATTGCATGACCTATTTGAAGCCAACGATTTGGGTGATTTCGTTGACCTTGACGGTGGAAGACAATCACTTCACCTGCATCTTTTCACCGGATTTGTGTGTGGTGAGTGAGATGCTAGAGAGAGAAGGAGATAGAGGAGAGAGGAAGGAAAATGCCAACTAAATTGCCATGAGTATATCCACGTAGACTCTGCCTAACTAATCGGCCAAATACCTCGGCCAAAATATCATTTTCCTTAAAATTTTAAAGTGTTTATTTATTAACAAGTCATTAGCTCAGATTGAATTTAATCGAATCCCATAATAAGGATTAAAAGAAAGAATGGTGTTACAAATATATACATACATACATACATACATACATATATATATATATATATATAGAGTGAGAGAGACCAATGGGTTTGTGGCCTAGCGGTATCAGTCTCTTACCTCTTAAAGGGAGGTCAAGGGTTTAAGCCTCCATGGAGGCATGTGTGTGTGAGTACCAATTAGGAGAGAGAGATAGTTTATTTTATATCATTCTATACTTGAAATAAATTTAAAAAATATATAATATTATTCTATTTTGACTACACTCTATCTAATCGGGGGCACACTTAGAATTTTCTGGGTTGAGCGCTTGGCTGAAAAATTTAAGTTGTTAAGTGGAGTTAATACCTATTTCATATATATTCATTTATTTTATCATCCGAATTCAATGTAATACACTAACAACTAACATAATTAAGTTATTTTATAATCCAATCTTAGTATGTTTAATAGTTTATTTACTGTTTAAGAAAAATTTAAGTCCCGCTAATAACTCACATGACATGAGTTGTCATGTGATAAATTAAAATAAATATCTACATAATTGTCACCACGCCTTGGTCATTTACTTGACCAAATTCTTTCTTTTTCTAATAAATAAATACTCTTCATGTCTGCTTTTAAAGAATCGTGACTCACAATTACAATTTTCTAAATTCGATATTTTTTTGAGACAGAGATAATAAGTAATATGCATATTATACGTGTATATAATATTAGCACATATGCATTACAAGATTTTTATACATGGTCAATTAGATAAATATGAGAGTTGAGAATTCGAAAGAACAAACATTAATGGTCTTGGTTGTGCATGAACAAATACGAAGTCTATAGAAAAGGATGATTGTCAAGTTGACGTATCGGATTAGCTCAACAAAAAGAAATGTATTAAATTGTAATAAAAATCAGTGCATATCAATCTGGATTGATTTGGATGGCATTCCAATGCTAAATGAGAAGAAAATTCTACGAGAGGGTCATCTTGATGACACATTGATTAAGACCTTTGATGTTAATTAATTAATACCTGGATTAGTTTAAACGGTGTCATATGGATATATATTAGATGGTCTTATGAATTGCGAAACTACCAACCAAACGGTTGCCTTTTCCCTTTCTTTTACAGTATTTAATTTCTGTTTCTTTCTTCTAGCCTCCTACTAGATGTTCTTTTGACTTGTGAACCTACCTAACCATTGCCTTATATATATATATATTTTGTGCCTTTTGAAAAATATAATAATAATATATATATTTTTAAAAGGTTATTAAGATAATGATATTATGATCCAAAATCAATATTACAACTCATTAAGTCAATTTCATGCGCATGTCTTTAGTTTGTAGGTGCATGTATAACTAATCACAACCGTTTCAAGTACCTTATTGTTCTACCTCTATTATTCAAAATTGAATCGGTCTTAGAGAGTAATTCAACAGTATATTATTTGTTAAACCTTTTTTGGTTTGCATGTTTAACCATTTTATAACATAAAATATTTATAATCATTCTGAATTGAATCTTGCTAAAGGATTTAAGACCAGCGACCTTCTAATGCAGTGATATTTTCTCATTCTTTCAAAATAACAGGTCAAGGGTTTGAGTCTTATATGAGAAAAAGATTAAGGTTTGATAAGAAACATTTAATTAACTTAAAAAAAAAAAAAAAAAAAAAACTCTACAAAGGACCGTAGGAGTCATGTTCACTGATGCATTTTCATGAATTTATTTCTAGTATAATAAGCCAAATATTAAAATTGTTTAGACAATTCTTACTATAAAAAGGGAACCTTCTGGTTAAACTTTTTTCTGATAGCAATTGACCAATACAGTCGAGTCTACTGTAAATGGTATATATATTAGTAGTTTTGAAAAAAATAACCCTTTATACAAACTAGAAGTGTCCAAACCAAGATTATATAAAGTTTGATCACTTCAACCGATTAATTGCTATATTAAAGAAATTTTATACGAGAAAACAATTCCATTTTTAATTAGATGAACAACTTTAATTCACTTGCAGTTTATAGCTTCCCAACAAACCTATTTAAAATCTTAATGAATACTTTTGAGATAATAAAAAAATCTTAATGAATAATATATAAAATTAAATGTCCATGGATGGTGCAGTCATGGTGTGTGTTTTTGTGGTTGTTTTTGTAGATATGATCTCATCGTGGAGTGCCGACTTGCCACGAAGGAATTTATTTGTAGATAAAATATGGAAAGAGTTTTGTTATTTGGGCCTTATTCGGCTCAACTGCAGCTAAGGGTGGGAGTGGGTGCGTCTATTGTTTGGGCCGAATTCAGTCTGGATGGAATTTTCCAAAATGAAGTGTGTTTTGTTATTGGGCCGACCCAACCGTAACTAGGGGTGGATTGGGTGCTCCATACCTTTCCTTGTGAAGGCGATTGTTTGACGAAATCAAACCATGTTCACACTTGGTCAAGATTACTTGTTGAACATGTGAAGTTCCTTTCTAACATAAGCAATGTTCAAAGATTTAACAAAATTTAATTTTCAAATAATGTACACGAAGTCAAGGTTTTAATTTCAAAAATCTTGTTAAAACTTGGACATCACTTATGCTGGAAAGAAGCATCACTTGTTGAACATGTAAAATACTTAGTCTAGTTCGATTCTAGTTGAGATGAATTTGTTGTATTTTAGTGAAGAAATAATTGTCATGGTAGTGTAAAGAAATCGTCTCTTATAAAATTCATTTGAACTATTATAAAAATGAATAAACAATGAATCTTCTCCTGAATATGTATATATAAATTTTTAACATTATTTTTCTTATTATTATTATTTTTTAAAATCTCACATAAGTTACGTAATTGTTCAATTATTCATGTTTGGTGAGAACATTTACATGTTGGATTGGGATCCTTTTAAAGTTTTCTATTTTTAAAATATTGTACAGAAGTTTTGTTTAGTTAAGAAAACTTCCTTATAAAAAAGTTATATTTTTTTGGATAAATCTTTTATAATTATCTAAAAATAAATTTCTATTTCTTTTTAATTGAACAATACAAACACTAAATATTCACAAGCCCACTGTAATGACATTATTATTTTTTAAAAATAAAATTGCACAATAAACTATAATATCATACACGACACGAGTGGGGTGTGACATGACACCTTTTAATAGATGGATTTAATTTCGCATTTGTCTGGAGAGAAAAAGAAAAAAAAAAAAGGAAACAACTATACTAGCTTAAAAAGAACAAAAAAAAAAAAAAAAAAAAATTGGAAAGGTCTCTTTTTCTTACCGGTGGCAATACGGAAATAACCCGAGGGTGAACCAATTGCGAGGTTGCCCTAGCGGTGATAAACCATACGCACAGAGCCACAGACTCTCCCATAGTCGTAGAGAGCCAGATAAGCGACTCGTGGTCATTCGCTTAACACACGTCTACGGATAATACCCCTTAAAGGCCACGTCAGCCTTAAAGCTTGTTGCTCAAACAAACTCCCCTCCCCCAAAAATATTTTCCCATCACTTTCCCACCGAACTAGCACAATTCATTTCCCAGACCAAGCCAATTTTCCTGCCAAACGCCTCAAATTTTCCCATTGATTTTCTCTCTTATCCATGTCCGTCAAGTTGTATCACCAGAGCCTCCTATATTCAAGAAGGTTATCAATTACTCTCTCTCTCTATCTACCTCCTCATCACATTCTTTTTATTTTTCGTTACTAATTTCTGAGTATATTCTTGGAAACTAGGGTTTTTCTGCAGTTCTCATTCTTTTTTTCTTTCTGTGTTGTCGGAATTTGCTATACAAGGTTTATGCTCTTTATGATGATTGATTATCTCCCTAGCCTATATTTGAACTGATAGATTAAATTAGCGGCCGTTGGCAGGTTGAATTCATTAATAAAATGTCCATAGATAGTGCTATCTCCGACCTTTCCAAGAATGTTATTTATTTATTTATATTTTTATTTCTTGACTTCCCCACAGAATTGACATTCACATTTCATTTATACCCATTTGGCGATTTTGAACTATTGTATTACTTGCACTTCAATTTGAAATGTATATGCTGAAAGTGGCCATTCTTTTGGTGAAAAGCACCATTTCTACCATGCGTTCTGCTAAATTGTATTTATGAAAGAAACATTAGTTCTTGTCCTGGCAAAGTTACATTTTGAAATTTTTTGTATAAGTTTATGTTTCAATAATTCTCACTAAGATTAAACCTTCTTAATTTTAAAGTTTCTCTCCACAATTCCTACCTCAATCATAGTAATGCTTGTAGTGTGTGCACGGCATGATTTTTTCAAAATTTTCATTTAAATATACAATAATCAATCAAGAGACAGGAGTTCCCTACTTATGAAAAAGATAGAAGTGGAATACCTAAGAAGTTTCACTTGTTATAATAGGAACTTGAATACAAAGAAGAAATAAATAATTCGAGCTGAGTCATAAATGAAAATCTGATCGAATTGGGGGAGATCTGACATGGTGTACAGCCCTGTGATACTTTAGCAGCCTATCACATACAAGTTTTGGCGCAGGGCTCTCTGGGGAAACTAATAGTTCTTTCTGGATAGGAGCATTCTGCATTTGAATATATTGTGTTATGGAATTTAGTTTTTTATTTTCATTACTTGGAAAAAATCCTAGATGTGATATTTTTTATTTTTTCTTTTCCCTGCACAAGATACTTCAATTGTTATTTCTAAAGTATTTTTTTTTTAAAAAAAAATCATAAATAATCATGTGAGAACCAAGAAGGAATAAGATTGGGAAAATGTCGATAGGGAATAGTTTTCAATGTAGTTGTTACCTTATTTCAATGTAATTTTACCATGACCTTTATGGAAATGTTTGTTGTAATTGATAATAACAATATTAGTGGCATAATTTTTTTCTTCTTATTTCCTTTCTATATATGATGGTTAGCTTGATCGGTATCCTTTTCAAACTCTGGTTAAACATTGGTGCACACATCTCCACAAAGAACGGTGGTCTAATGTTTTTTTTTGCTAATACTTACATGGGTCCCAAACTAAACTAATAATTGATATTGAGCTATTGATGAGGTTAATACCCAGCCTATATTTTTTTTTTGATAAGTAATACCCAGCCTATTCAACAGTAGATACAAATATGAGGATCCCAAAAGAATCTCTCTTTTTTTTTTTTTTTTTTTTTTTTACTTTAAGGAAATTTCATGTTTGGTTATTTAAGCAAAAGGATGGAGACTGGATTTGACTTATTTTAATCTAGATATTCCTTTTGTTTGTCTTATTTTCTAACTTTTATATTTATGAAGTCAAGAAGCTTGATGTCCTATGCCTTGGGCCTCATGTTTCATTTATCTGAAGGGTTCAACAACTTCCCTTTTTGGTTGGTGGCATTGATACCAGATTAATGTCTTCAATAATTTGCAAGAAGATGTTGAATTTTACCACGGGTCTGTAGGCTCTGTTGATTGAAAGACCAGTACTTTTTACAGTGTACAAATGAACACAAGAAGTTCTATTCACTGAAAAAGGTACCAACTTACCATCGGTTGAGACAATTGAACAAACATATATGGAAAAGATAGACTTATAACCAGATCACCTAGTGACCCATTGGATTTTGGTAATACTTTTTAGAGATTTGACTTCTTACTCACAAGTATGCATTTTAGAGATTCTAAGTCAATGCTTATGTACTAATGGGCTAAATAGGTGGAATATCATTGCTCAACAACTAGCAAAAATCACGTGCATCGTCTATCTGCTGTCTGACATCTCTTGCAACCTGAAACCCAACTATGGTGATAAAACACTTGATATCCATTCATGTGGCTCATTCTTCTACTTTTTACTTGCAGCTCTTCAAATCCATATCTGTCACGAAAATCAATTAGAACTCAGTTTCTCAACAAAAAGGTGGTTGACTTGGATCATCTGCTATTGAACTGGGGTTATTTAAGGAAGAGATGCTGTATAAGGTTTGCTTTATTAGAGAATGGTAATCTTAGTTACAGATTGGTGGATTTTAGGAAACATCGTTCAACTTTTTGTAAATCACAAAGGACAAAACACCTTGTTCCCTTTGCTTCTGCTGATGAAAGCGTAACCGTCAATGGGAGTCCTCAGGCAAGTAGAAGTAGTGATGTTGAGAAAACAAGGATCAAACTTGATCAGTCACTGCAAGGCGAAGATGATAGTAATGGACTTGTTCAATCATTGCATGATGCTGCAAGGGTGTTTGAACTGGCAATTAAGGAACAGACATCATCATCTAAAGTATCCTGGTTCTCAACTGCATGGCTTGGTGTAGACAAAAATGCATGGGTGAAAGGACTATCTTATCAGGTTTGTCAGTAAACTCATGTTGTGATTGCGCATTGTGATATATATATATATATATATATATATATATATATATTTCAGGGTTATATTTTAGATAACAGACAATGGATCTCCTGAAGACAGTGGTCTATTATAATTTTAGTTGATTCACTGTTCATGCTATGCCAAGTAGATTTTCATGTCAAGACGTTTGAGTTTAAATGTTGTTGCTACATGGTTTTTAAGTTCTTTAAAACAAAAGCACCATCATTTTATCCCAATTCATACCCAACTTGTTCACCTGCAATCCTGTAAATTCATACCTTACTCATTTCAGCGAAGCCTTATCCTAATTATTTTCATGAACCTTGCTTTTATATGTTATCCTTTATATCCAACGAATGTATGTGTCTGGCTATTACCTTTGTACTTTTTAGTGAAGTGTATCTTGAAGCTGAAAAGGTGTTTTGACTAATAGATAACTGGTCATTTTATCATTGGACTTGATATAGTCGTGGATCTTCTTGACTTCTCTATTGGTTGTGCTTAAAAAAGACAAGGTCAACCATGCATTATTGATAAAAAGTTGTTTTATTTGTTGAATGAAAAATGTTTCTAGTGCTTGGTAAATGCTCTATATAACTATAATACAAATCCGTATCCACCATAACTATTAACTGTTACACATTGGTAGTGGTTTTTGTTCTGGTTGCTGCATATGCATGTTGAAGGATCTCTGTCTATAGATTAAGCTAAAACTCTTAGATGATATGCCAAAAAATCCATTCTTTAAAACTTTTGATTCGTTATGTGTTGCATAATTTGAATTACTTCAATTTTATATTGATATAATGGAATTTATGTGCAAATGGAAAGGCTACATATAAACATTAAGTTATCTAATCCACTGATTCTTTATGCCGAAAAGTTCCGTCATTTTGACCATAACAAGTTTGTGTTGCGTTGCGTATTGTAGGTGTTTTTCTATTGTAGCTATATATAAATGTGTGAGGCCTTGAATAACTATGAGATGGATATTTATAAGCTGATGAATATTTTCTTCTTCTTATTATTTTTTTTCTTTTCTTTTGGGGTGGGGAATTGGCTTCTTCTTATACTTGAATTAGTACTTCAAAATTTTAAAACTTGGAACATGACTGGCAAGAGCATCCTAGAAGTACAATGTTTCAATCATGTAATTAGACTCAAAATAAGACCTGCCACTGCAACCCTTTGCCTAGCAAATTTTGAATATTATAAAAATATCCTTTACTCTGAATTTATAACACCAATAAAGTTGAAACAACTGCACACGTACCCAAAATCAACATAAGTTATGACTAATTCATCCAAATTGCGATTACAAGATTAAAAGGGAGTAGTGTCCAGAATTTCAAGTTTATCCATCTTCTTTTGTCATACATAATGGAGGTCATGTTGAAGAATATGCCCGGGAAAAGAGATTGGAGGGGGACAAAAAAAAAAAAAACTAAACAGGTCATCTGGTCCTACCATTGGAGCAATTAGGCCCCACGTTGATGTTGCGCTTGGCTTGAATAGTTGAGCAAGTACAAGTATTAGTCGCATAACAAAAGTGAGTTCATCGTCTTTAATATGTTTGCACACAATAACGGTGGCCTCTCGGGAGAATCAATGAGTGTGATAGGGAACTATTTTGGGTGGGTTCTATTAATTTACATAACTCTATTCATATGTTTCAATGATATATTGCAGTAATTTTTATTGGAATTTTATCTCTTTTCTTTGTCCAATTTTCTTGGTGTTGGGTTGTGGCTCTTCTGGGTCTTGTTAACTTCTTTTCTTGTTCTTATGTATTTAAGTCTTAATTAGTTTAGAAAATTTATACTAATTTGAAATTAGAAAATTACTTATGAAAAGAAAATTTTAATTAGAAAATTTCATAGCTATATCTTTTCTATGATGAGACACTCGCACTGAATTTTTTCATGGTAAAATTTCTAGAAGCCCTTGGGAATCTGTCAAGTTTTTCCTCCTCAAACCCTCTTATCTTTAATTTCATCTGCAGCAGTGGTATACACCCTTAATAAGAAAAATCAGCCTTCAATAATCTTATTTATCTAAAGAACCCTAGAGCTTTTGTTAAAAGCATAAGCTCCCCACTGTTAAAGCTGAGAAACCTTACTTTTCCCTTGGGTTAAGATATTCCAATAAGCTTTCTCCTTCGAATCTAGACCAAAAATACCCTTGATTTTGTTTGCTTTCAATTGAAGAGTAGAATGGGAAATTAGAGTATCCTTACCTGCAAAGTCACTAATTAATCAGTCACCGGGAAAAAAAAAACCTTATTATTGGGCGAAACATTGTTCAAACCATTCTGCAGTTAACTCTTGATTTAGAGCTCATTTTCCCTTTGTTCACTAAAGTTATAAGTAATGAATTGGTTATCTGAAGAAGTGGAAATATTATGTGATTTCTTGATGTTCTTTTCATGGTTGAAATATGTAGAAGGATTTATATATTTAAGTTACACCCTCTCTAACAGCTGAAGCCTTTGGAGTAGATGGTAGTTAACATAGTACCAGAGCCAAAGGTCTCGTGTTAAAGCCTCACCCTAATAATTAAAATCGAAACATGTGTTGGACCAAAAGAAGGCCACACGTGAGGGGCATGTTGAAGGATTTATATATTTAAGTTACACCTCCTGTAACAGCTTAAGCTTTTGGAGTAGATGGTAGTTAACAAAATCAATAATTGACTTGTTTCTTAGAAAACTGTTGACCTTAGGATCCTGGATTAAAGAATATGAAGTGCAGTGCTCTTCTATCAAATAGCGTCATTCATAGAATGAAACATCTTTGTAGAGGCAATATGTTACTTCAACATTCAGGTATAAGTGACGATCATAATGTTCTCATTTCACCAAAAATCAGGACAAATGGCTGATTACACACTAGAAAATTGACTTTTTCTTTACCTTAACTACATGAATTATGACGAAATTTTTGTTTTTAGTTGGTATAGTTTGATTTATCTGCTCCCCATTTTTTTAGGTAGGTAGCCTCTTGTCTACTACCCATTCTATTTAAAGTTTCTAATCAAAGCAGGATTTTAAATATTTACTTATTCCTTGAGCCACCATGTACTTGCTGTCTGTTTGTTGGAAATTATCTCAATGACCAATGTTGTAAGGCACCGGGACATTATTCATGGGTTTGGACGTGAATGATTATGATTTTTCTTTCACATACACGACATAATGAAATGAATGATATAATAAACATACGAAATACTACCCCTAATAGTTCATTTCATAAAAAAATAATGTATTTTGTTAGAATGTCGTTTAGTGTGTCTCATGATCGATTCCTGCTAGGTGCAAACAATTCCTTGGAGGGGGTGTGTGTTAGTACCAACTAGGAAAAAAATGATTGCTTCGTGTGTCATTAATTATGATTATTCATTCTGGTGGAGTGAATTATGACCATTAGTATTGGTGGAAAGAATCACAGTCAACTGGGATAGTTGGATCTAAGGTTTCATTGTCTTAAGAACATCACCTTAGTGGCCTTTTATCTTGCAGAATTGTTGGGTGATGCACCGTACTGAATATCTCATTGGATTCTTATTAATGGTTTGGTAAAACAATGCTTTGGATTGTGAACTTAAGTTTATGTTGGGGTTTTGGCATAAGAAGTGTGGACATGGTTACAAGATACAGATACAATATGGCACTTACATGTTGGCACGACAAATTTTATAACTTATAAAATGTACTATCATATGTGTTGAAGGATTTAAATATTATAGTTTTTTTATTTTTTATTTTATAAGTAAAGATATATTAGAAAAACGTTCAAAAGGGGAACGTGTCCCTAATACAAGAAAAAAGGTCTAAGGACTAATGGAATCCAAGAGATCAAAGAAATCATCAATCGAGGAGCATACACTTTCTCTTACATAAGAGAACAAAGAACGAAGAATATGAATTTTTAAATTAGCTAAAGACGATTCTTTTCCTTCAAAGGATCTATTATTCCTCTCACGCCACAGACACCACCAGACACAATGTGGAACAATCCTCCAATAATCCCGAGTTTGTTCTTTGACAAGACACCTTTTCCAAGTGTTAATCAATTGAAAGGAGTGCTGAGGCATTACCCAAAGAACGCCAAACATGCTAAAAATAAAACTCCAACAATCAAATGCCACAGGACAATGCAAAAGAATGTGATCCACGGATTCAGTAGCAGCTTTACATAAACAACACCAATTAACAATGATGTTGCCTCTCTTTCTCAAATTGTCCAATGTCAAAATCTTCCCCAATGTGGCAGTCCAAACGAAGAATGTGATTCGAAGAGGAGCTTTAGAGCGCCAAATAGACTTCCAAGGGAACATAGGACCAACAAAATTGGACAAACAGATGAACATAGAGCGGACACTATACTGACCATGAGCCAAAGGAACCCACAAAATATCATCACACCCACTGCCAATATCCTTCTATCTATATAACGTATCCAAAAAAACACAAGCTTCCTCCATTTCCCAATCCTAAAAGGGCCGCCTAAACCGCACATCCCATGTAACTCCATTGTTATCAAGTTGATAACAATCAATCACGTAAACATGCTTGTTGGCTGCAATACTGTAGAGCCTAGGAAAAGAAAGATACAACAATTGATCGCCGCACCAAAGGTCCTCCCAAAAACGAACATGTTTGCCATCCCGAACTTTGAATCTAATATGAGTGGAAAAAACATCCCAACCCTTCTGAATGAATTTCCACACACCAACACCTCCCGAAATAGTGACAGGAAGAGATGACTAGCCCCCACTCTCCTCACCAAAACGACACGAGACAACTCTTCTCCACTGTCGATGGCGTTCCCTTCCAAATCTCCATAACCACTTACCCAAGAGAGCATGATTAAAAGGAATGATTTTTCGAATGCCTAACCCGCCTATAACCTCAACGGTTGGCAGACTTGATCCCAATTAACAAGATGATACTTAAACTCCTCACCCCTTCCACCCCAGAG